CCGCTGTGAAGAAAGGGGCTCGGGGTGGTACTTCTCGTGAACATGCGACAGATCATCGCCGCCATCACCACCGTCATTGCGGGGGAAGCCAGGAGGACTGGGTGGTCCGTCGACCATCAAGACTTCTGCCGCAGGATCGCTGCTGTCGCACTCGGATGCGGTCTCGACGGAGCCAATCGAACAGGCCGTACAGAGTTTCATCGGGCTCGATTGTCGCGACTTGTGAGGTGGCCGACTGGCGGGCCACCACGTGCCTCACCCACCGCTGGAGCCGCGACCGACCGGAACGCTTGTGCCAGCGAGCGGCGGGGGATGAGGACACCATAGGAACCGACCGACACTGGGTCGACAATTGCCAGAGAAGGACGCCGCGGACACACGCGCGAAAGTGCGTCGCCCCGCAGACGGGGAGCGCATCGACGTCGAGTGGAGCTTCCTGGAGCCAGGCGGAATCATCGGCGATGAACACGAGCGCGCCGAGACGGGTCTCGTGGCCCTCAACCAGTCCGTCGGCGGAAACCATGATGATGAGAATCGGAAAAAATCGCAACTTCACCAAAAAGTTGCTAAGACACCTGCCCCACGGTGGGCGCCAACTGTCGTGGATGTAAGACTGACAGTAGAATGGGGGGTAGGTATGAGGAGGCAAGATCCTAGCTATGGCGAAGTTGTACACACGGGTTTTACGAGTTCAGGCCCTTCTCGGAGGAAGTAACAACCCTACGTCTCGGTGCCCAGAGGCTGACGACTGGATTATGTATGTGTGTGTTTACAGGGGGTGCCAACCCTTGTACCAGTGGAGGGGGTGGCTTATATAGAGTGCGCCAGGACCGCAGCCAACCCATGTTACAAGGGGTTTAATGTACATCAAGAGGGGGGCGTTACTGGTAACGCTAGCAATTAAGTGACATAAATGCTTATTAAGTCTATGAAGTAAACGTCCGACCGTTGTCGTGCAGATGACTTTAGGTCTTCTGTTGTCGAGTGATAACTGTTGTTGTCGAGTGACTTGAATCTTCCGAGTGGAATGCCTTGTAGTCGAGTGGATGATTCTATCCCTTGAATGCTTCTGGTTTTAAGATGGTGTCCTAGGGGAGGGTGTCTAGGTCAGGCCTATGACTCTACCCTAGGTACATAGCTTCACCAGGCACTATTCATGAAAGAAAAAGAATATAGTTAATTAGCAAATGCCATATGTGTAGACTGGAGAATGGTAAACACTCAAAGGTAGTTGCTGCACCCATTACTCCTTTTTACTTTTTGCGCCTTGTCGCACCCACTAATAACCGCAAAGAAATTCTGCATTACCTATAATAGTTTGTATCGCCATGGGGTGGAACCCAAGAGCACATGACGAAGGCAGGATGGGATAAGGGAGGGTGTGAAACCTAGTATCCCTGTTCTGCGGAAAAGGGAATGGTAGAGAGAAGGAATGGTAGAGAGAAAGGACATACCATTCTGTACAGAAACAAGCTTTGTGTAGGTAATGTTTAATATTAATGTGCGAACAAAAATGTTAACAATTTTCAACATGATAACTGCCATGGTGTACTGACCAGGAACTACTTACATACTGAAGATCACATAAATGTGACTTTTGGCATTTAATGAAGAAGAATGTATTCACAATCAGAGAGGTATGTTCCGGTTCTTATATGATTACGGGTTATAATTTGACCATTCTAATCGTGGGGTTATAAAACCGAAAACATTATTAATTATATGCATAAAATAAATAAATGTGAAAATTCATTGTAAACTCATCGTTGCCACTCCATGTAATCGGAAACAAAAAAAATTATAAACACGTTGATGCATAAGACAAGTGATGGTCTTGAGGCAGGAGGGTCAGAGGAGGGCGACGAGACCTAGTCTGTCTCCACCGTGGTCTTCTCGTATGGCCCTATGGCGATACGACGTAAATCCAATGGTGAAAAGTAATCAAAGTGGGTTCTCCCTAAATCCAATTGTCCAAATCAGGATATCAAACAAATTTAATTACAAAGTTCTATAGATTAAAGATAACTGACAAACATTAGTACAAGAGCATACTTGTTTGCTGATGGCAACTATAATCTGAAATTCAAAAGCTTAAATAACCTCAAAGTTGAAATACTCATCCTTGCAGCTATGTCTCCACTGACAAATTGACTTCTTGCTAATAGAGAAGCCCAACGATTGGTGGTAAGCAACAAAAATGTCCGCAATATGGTTACTGCACTGATACTTTCTTTTTTATCGTATGCCCACAGTATCGTACAGTAGCACTGGTAGTATCCACTTCATCTGCAAATAGCAGCAATAAAATTTAGCACGAAAGAGCATAATTTATATATGACAATTGTATCGGTTGTACAATCTTTTTATTTTGAGGCAAACATTATACAGTTTGTACTCTGTACTACTTGCCAATTCACAAGATATACAGTGCAGTAGCAGCAATCGATCATCATTCTCTCTTCATCCTCTTTCTCAGGACCAGAGCAAGCATACCGCCAGTCAATCAACCTTATATAAGGCCCTAATGAAAAGTGAAAACTGGGAAGAAAGAGCATCACCTACAATAGTTAGTATTTTGATCATCTGATGGAGACTTGGGTATGAACCGTGGCAGTAGAATTTTCAATGTTAAACGTCGACAAAAGCCCAACTGAAGCAGCATGACTAATCAATATATTTATTGGGTGTCATACAACTTAGAATGATTTTAAAGTACTTTTCATGTTTTTGTAACAACCCAATTGAAGCAGCATGAGTAATCAATAGATTTATTGGAGCTAGCAAAGCGGTGCATATATATCTTACACCCGCTATTTTTCACAGTTGATGATCGTGTCTTGTTACTATTAATTAAACGATGTTCTCTCCTTCATTATCATGGAGAGTATGTACGTCAGTGCAATCTCAAGGAATCCGAGGATCGTGCAGAAATTCTCATCCACTTCTAGCTTGCGTTCCTGGTGTAAAATATATCACAAGGTCTGCAGGTAAGCGATTATAGGAATCCAGCAGATATAAACCATCGTCGCCCACAAACCTGATGTACATCACTACTCCATGGTATGTCCGTTGGGCAATCTAATAAGCCGATCTAATTGAGAAAAGTTTATTAGAATTTAGAAAGCCTGACCTCGGCAGAGCTGATATTCGTTGTCGATCCAGGAGAAGTATGCCAACACAGCGGAAGCGGCATCCATTTCGGTTCGTGACGAATGGCGGCGACGTCGCCCACCTCCTTACAGGATGAGGCAACTCTCACCTCGTGGCAGCGGCCGTCCGTCCTCAACAATGAGTTGACTCCTGTGTCCTTGCCAGAGGAGGTCCTCAGATGCGTCAGATACATGGGGAATCAGTGCGCCATAGTGATAGAGAGGCCACCATCGACGGTGGTCTACACGATCTGCGCGGCCATGGGCACAGAGATGCTCGATGTAACAGAGGCAAAGGCGACCACGACTCTTAACCGGACAACGCCAGATCAGACCGAGCTCTTGGAACCCTCGATACCTAGCGAAGGTGCTGACGACACGATGCCAAGGAGGATGGTGGCAACCTGCGGGGAGCGGCCGAGCGGCCCATCCCCTGCGTGAGCGTGCACGAGAGACATAGAGTGAGGGAGAGGGAGGAATCCGGGATGGGGTAGGGCACGAGGCTACGTGGTGGCGGCGGCGCTCGGACTCTTCGAGCGGTAGGGCAGGACGGCGGAAGTGAGATGAGGCGTCCACATTTTTGTTGTTGCTGCCATTGGATAATATTCGATTAAAAATTAAATAGGTACATAAATACTTTAATAATGAGATAATATTCCATTTAAAATTAAGTAGGTACATAAATGCTTTAATAATGAGATTTCTTAAAATTGGTTATTTGTTTCATAATTAGTGTGATCGAGCGATTTAGGATAATTAATTTTGATTTGATCTTTAGAGATTGATCGTGATTGATTCTTTCACATAAAGATATTACTAAATAACTTGCGTCGGTATGGAAAGTTCTGATCCGTTCAGGTTTTTTTCGTTGTGTGAGAGGGTGATGCGAAACTAAACTGGTGGGATGGGGGAGGGGACGAAAAAACCCAGCGAAATAAAACGGCTGAAAGTGATGGGACGAAAATAAATCATGGATACTATTCAACCAACTCAAACATTAGGAGTAGAGATTTATTTTTCCTCTGGTATACTTATATTATGAAAATATATCTTTTAGGTTTAGATTGGTAAAAAACCCCGAAACCAATAGTATAGTTATAGTTATTCTTTATGCAATGATGAAAACTAGTGTAAAAAACGCTTTTATAGTATGTGATGGATAGAGTATTTTTTTTATAACAATTGGCCTAGAAACCAGATTTAAGGAGACGTGAATTTTGTGGAACCAAAAATCCCAAAAAAATAGGTCAGGTCGGTTAGGCCAGTCTTTTTTTTTACACACAGTACAAACATAAGCGTTTATATATACGCGCATATACTCATCCAATGAACACGTACACGCACATCCTATTTATAAATATCTTTGAGAGAATAAGCTGTTATATCAAATTTGAATCCTGATGGGCTGGGGATACCACGGTCCTCATTCGCTGTTAGGTCAGTCTTTAAAAGACCAAATCTTTCTTCATTTATATAAGGAAATAAAAATCAAATATTGGCACAATCAATTTTGTTAGGAAAGTTGTATCTACGCATGAATACTTTCTATAAATACACACGACATATTTCTCTTCCCCAAACATAGATTTTGTTCTTTTGTTGTTGAAGAATTTCTCCAAACATAGATATGCACAAGCAGAGCATCATCGGGGGCCCCAAATTCTAGGAGCACCCCCCTTCCGTCCGTCGCAGGCTTTAATGGTCGCCTAGCGCCAGCTCGTCGGAATCCGGGAGTCAGCTTCTCCACTCCCCTCCGCCTCGCTCGCTCGCTCGCTCTCCACCCACATCGCCAACAGTCAGCACCGCCTCCGCCGCCGCAGCGGAGGCCCGTCTAACGTCTGTGCAAGGTGAATGCCTCGGCTCCTCTTGGTACGGTAGTAGTTCGTCGGACCGTCCCGCCGCGGGATATGCGGCGGAATCTGAATTTTAGGGTTTGGTTCTTATCTTTTACGTTTGGGTTGATTAAAGTGCCTTTCTTTTATCCGGATTTGTAGGGGGCTTGTGTTCTGATGGTGGGGGTGGAGCCGCCGGCGCCGCCCTCGCGGACGCCGATCGGCGCGCGGCTGGCGGCTGGCGGGGTCAGGCCGAGGAGGGTCTCCGCCAAGCGCTCCTGGCCGCCCGGCTGCGGCCGCTTCCGTGCTGCTCCGCCTGCCCCCGAGGCCGGCGACGGCGAGAGGGGCGCCACCAATGGCGTCATCGAGGTCAGAGTTGAGGAGGCGGCCAGCCACGAGAGCGTTTCCTCGGCGGCGGCCCCGCCTCAACTGGATACTGAGGGGTTGGCGGAGGGGACGAAGAAGGTTGGAGATGCAATCGACGCCGTCGTTGTTTCATCGGCAGCGTGCAACGGCGACCTCCCCCACGCCCCGCCTCAGCTGGAGACGATGCCGGAGGAGAGGAAGGAGGGCAGCGAGACACACATGGACAGGGCCGGTGTTTCCTCCGTGGCGTGCAACGGTGACCTCCCGCACGCCCTGCCTCAGCCGGAGACCGAGGGGATGGTGGAGCTGAGGAAGGAGGGTGGAGAGGCGCAACCGTCCAGTGGTGGCGATGCCCGCGGTCAGGCAGAAAGCAGCGCGATCGAGGTGATGCCGCTGGCGTTTGCTGCCCCGAAGAGTTTTACTGTTGCTGCTGTCAATGGTTCCGTCGAGAATGGGGGAGATGGGGCTGAGTCATTGCTGATGGAGGGGAACAGAGGCCTGGGGAGTGGTCGATTGGTCAGGGAGGAGGATGTGGCTGGCAATGGCAATGGCAGTGTGATGGAAAACAGAACGGGTAATGGCGAATTGGAGAGAAAAGAGGATGGGCATGATACAGCGAGAAAGAAGAGATGGTTGATGTCTGCTGTAAATCCCCCTCCCAAGAGGAGGGCCATCTCAGCTGTACGCACATTTCCACCTGGCTGTGGAAGGGACGCTGTTACTGGAACTGGCAGCAGAGTTGAGGAAGAGTCAGTATTGGAAGCCACGCCTATCAGTTTCGCTACCAGGGGTGCCTCTGTAGTGGATGCCTTGACCACGGTTCCAGGTTCAGGTCATGGTGCTTCCCCGGTGGTCGTGCGAGATGCTTCCAATGAGGTGCAAGGCAAAAGAGCAGAGGTTGTAGGAGCGGGTGATGGTGAGGTGAGAGGCAAATTCGATGGAAGCTTGCGGAAAGGTACAACTAATAAGACTTATGTGAGAAGTCGTGTTGTTGATGCAAAGACAAAGGGCAAGCGACCAAAGGATGTCACGATGAATGATACATTGCGAGATGATGTTGGGGTCTCTGGAGACGGCACGCCGGAAAACAAGAATTCAATAGATGATGTGCGCTCAAATAGTAACACGAAGCATGGCATTGTGAAGTTGAAGAGTTATGGCATAGGCAAGGACTCTTTGATCAGGTCTTCTAAGGAGTCCAAGTGTGGAAATCATGATATGACCAATCAAAGTGAAGAAACCGATGATTTGACCTTAATTAGTGACAAACTAATCGTGCAAGCATTGATGGCTCCAGACAAATGCCCATGGACAAAAGGAAGGAAGTCTAGTGCTAGTGCTTCCAACTCTCGTACTCCTAGGAATAAGTCTCTTCCTCCTAAGAAACCGAAGAAAAAGGACGCTACTCCAAGGAAAGTATTACCCCCCAAAGTGACACCTTCTACATCGGCCGTGCATGAGAAAATTGAGCATGGAGAGTACTCTTGCTTGGAAGATGATGGCAACCCTATAGCATTAGCTGTCCCTGAAAGGAAAGAATTATGTGTCACTCTCCCTCCTTGTGCTCCTTTTGGGGACCAGAGTGTTGATGCTCGAAGCAAAGTTAGGAAGTTGCTCAAGTTGTTCCAGTTGATATGTCGGAAGCTTATGCAAGCCGAGGAACAACAATTACGTAATTTTGGAAGAATTGACCTTGAGGCCATTGAAGTTCTAAAGAAGTATGATGGATATTCTAAACCCGATGCTATCGTGGGCGATGTTCCCGGTGTTGTTGTTGGTGATGAATTTCATTTTAGAGTTGAGTTGTCGATAGTTGGACTACATAGGATATACCAAGGTGGCATTGACTCCGCCATTGTGGATGGTACCCGCATTGCAATAAGCATTGTCGCTTCCGGTGGGTATCCCGATGAGTTGTCTAGCTCGGACGAGTTAATATATACTGGCTCCGGAGGTAAAGCCACCGGCAAGAAGGATGCAGAGGATCAAAAGCTTAAGGGTGGTAATCTTGCCTTGAAGAATTGCATCAAAACTAAGACTCCGGTCCGAGTGATTCATGGGTTCAAAGGTCAAAGTAGAAGTGAAGTCGGGCAGTCTAAATCCAAGCAAATATCAACATACACTTATGATGGGTTGTATGTGGTGGTGGATTGTTGGCAAGAAGGAGCAAGTGGCTCGATGGTCTTCAAGTACAAGTTAAAAAGGATCCTGGGTCAACCTGAATTAGCTTTACACATAGTCAAGGAGACAAGGATGTCTAAAGTTCGTAAAGGTCTTCGCTGTCCTGATATATCTCTAGAGAAAGAAAGGATTCCCATATGTGTGATCAACACAATTGATGACGCGCAGCCAACACCATTTGAGTATATCACCAAAGTCATATATCCACCGTCATATGCAAAAGAACCTCCGCAAGGCTGTGATTGCACCGACGGTTGCTCGGACTCTAGTAGATGTGCTTGTGCAGTGAAGAATGGAGGAGAAATCCCATTCAATTTTAATGGTGCAATTGTTCACGCAAAGCCGCTCATATATGAGTGTGGCCCATCTTGCAGGTAAGGTGTTATTTTTGTAACCTAACTAGACAATAACCATTTGAGTTTATTTTAGTTTGTTCTTTAGATTAAAGAATTTAATTTGCAGAACCTGGAAATGTTTCTTATTGTTACTAAAACTTCTAGACAAATCTTGTACCGAGTCTAAGTATATGTTCAGTCCTAGATGTTGGTGAAATATGAGAAATGGCTCATAAACCAAACTTGTTTACCTGAAGTTGGCTCATAAACCAAACTTGTTAACCTGAATTTGGTTGGCAGTATTCTTTTGCATTGGATGCTTAGGTTAAATTGAAGTCACAAAATTTCATTGGAATTAGCGAGCTAACTAAATGCTGGAAACTGGATGCAGGTGCCCTCCGACATGCCACAATAGGGCGAGCCAGCATGGTATCAAAATTCCGCTGGAAATATTCAAGACTGGGGAGACAGGTTGGGGTGTAAGATCTCTCAGTTCTATCTCTTCAGGCAGTTTCATATGCGAGTATGCAGGTGAGCTATTGCAAGATACAGAAGCTGAAAAGAGAGAGAACGATGAGTACCTGTTTGATATTGGTCATAACTATGATGATGAAGAACTTTGGAAGGGTCTTCCATCGATGATTCCAGGTTTAGAATCTTCTACCTCTGAGACAATGGAGGAGTCTGTGGGCTTCACAATAGATGCTGCAAAGTGCGGCAACGTCGGAAGATTCATCAACCATAGCTGCTCCCCAAACCTGTATGCACAAAATGTCCTCTGGGACCATGATGACAAGAGGATGCCGCACATTATGTTTTTTGCTGCCGAGAACATTCCTCCGCTTCAAGAGCTGACTTACCACTACAATTATACAATAGGTCAAGTCCGTGACAAGAATGGTGTGGAGAAGGTAAAGGAGTGCTTGTGTGGTTCGGCTGATTGCTGTCACAGGCTTTACTAAGTTATTGGTTTTCGGTGACTGGTGATGTTAATGTTCGTATCCGATGGAAATCTGTCCTATAATGGCAGTGCTTACTCGCTTTACCTTCTGGTGACCTTGCACTCGCTGACAACATGTAGTGTTTATTTTCTGTGCCAGTTGAACTATTATTTGTTACTGCATTTTGAAGAACATATAAGCTCCAATAGCTCACCCTTTTTGGGTGTTTGGGAGGCTTTGAAAGAGTGGTATGAAGTGTCCAGGTATGTTTTACTCTTTTTTTCTTTCAAAATGAGATTGTACTGGCTATAACATGAGGTTTGACTGTTGGTCTTCGTTATGACTAATTCCGCAGAATCAAGCATTTTGGCGTTGCACATTCTCCTGTTGAAATCTTCACCTGGACCTGGAGGATACAAATATGCAATGATTAGCTTGTATGGAGCTTTGCACTGAACATGCTACTAGTAGTAGGACTAAAGATGGTGGCTACGAGTGCTCGGAGCTGCGTCGACTTCCAGTTGCGATGCCGGGGACAGACTAGATGATAAATTGCTTCTGCACAAGGACTGCCCCTCATCATTTTGCTCAACTGTGGATCGCAAGGCTGTAGCAAGCTGCCGATAGAAGTTGTGGATTCATACCCCTTATTTTGTCTTTATAAAAATGAATTTTGTGGATCCAATGGTGAGCTGCCCTATCTTAAAGAGTTGCAGCTCCTCCTGCATGTAAAGTTTTCAGTGTTGGTTTGGACCATCAGATAGACTTGCTGGAGTTGTTTCTCAGATGCTACCATGCAACTTCAGGAAATATATAACATTCCTACTGTTCCCACATGTGTTTGCTTTCTGCTATTTGTTCTTTTCTAAGCCATGTTGCGAGATGAACATTGCTTCTTTTTTTGGTACTAAAAAAACGAACCATGTAAGACAATCATTTTTCTTTCTATTAGGTAAAATTTTATACTCCCTTTGATCCATATTAATTGTCGCAGCTTTAGTACTACTTTGTATTGGAGTATATTGTATAGTTGGAAAATATTTATTAAATATAAATGACATGATATAAAGAAAACTTTTTTCCATGCATGTTGTGGTGGGTCTTTGATGAGGTAGGATATGTATAATAAAAGTAGTTGTGATCACTTTTTTTTCCTTAAAAAGTCAGGATCACCTTTTTTAGAATAGCCGTCTATTCTTAATTGCATAATGTTTTGGGGATACAAATAATAGACCGTGGAGACATAAGCTAGACATTTCTTTTTCAAACCTGCTTCGCTTCCATTTAAGGAAAAAGAATTTCACGTTCTTCCTGAAAGGAAGGGAGGATTAGGAAAGTCCTATTGATTATTGCTTTCTCCGGGCCATCGGGAAAAGCATGAAAAAAAATGCTCGAATGGTACAATCCCATGCCACCCTAGAATTAAAGGGGCGAACTCGTAGTTGGTCCTTATGCATCCATTCCACATGTTAGGTGTAGCTGGTGTATTCGGCGGTTTCCTATTCAGTGCTATGCATGGCTCCTTGGTAACCTCTAGTTTGATCAGGGAAACTATTGAAAATGACGGTCGTCCCCAAGCTAGTTGCTGCTTTAGCTTAACTATGAGCTTCTGATATTGTCACTGGCATGTACGCACTAATCGCAGCGCATGATAATATGGGATCCTCGGCGTCGTCAGTTCCTTTCGAAAGCTCTATCAGATGTCACAATTGATCAGCAGATATCCTCCAGTGAGGTTGGTCCGTCCATGTAACGTGCAGGAGCGCTTAGGGTGATTGGTCCATGAACCCTTCACGCTTAGGATGTAGACCGCCATGTTGACCTCTCTGGAGATCCTAGGTAGGACTTCGGCGTGTCGATTATCGTAGGCCAGGCATTACCTAGAAAAATGTGTCCGGATAGAGGTAACCGAGCGTATTGAGAAATATAGTGCACCCCTACAGGGAGGTTAAACTATTCGAATAGTCGCGTCCACGGTAACGGATGATTTGGTGTTGTATCCCTAGCTTCTACAACTTAAATTGGATACTTAATAAAATTCATCAAAAAATATAGCACGCTCGAGGACCGCTTTCTCACGGGAACCGAATCCAAGGGTAGTGCATTGTTGTAATTGCTATTTGTATTCGTTTGCACTCTTCTCTTTCAAGGTTGCATGATTGTTCTCATTCTCTTCTATTGCTGCAAGAAGCTTCATTCTCACCTCATGCTGCAAGATGCCGATGGATAGTTGTTACTTTGAGTTTCCTCCTTATTCTAGAATTTCTGCAGCTTAGTCCAAAGATATAGCCCTTTCCTTTGATAACGATACATATCTAGCATAGTTGTGATGTAAGTCTTCCGAGTACTTTAGATGAGTATTCACCGTTGCTTTGCTATTCTTTTCCTTCAACCCGGTTGCTGCAACAACTAGTAGCACTGTGGATGTAGGTTATTTTGATAGTGCTTACTACGAGGAGATCGACATTGAGGAGTAGTTCGAAGGTCCCAGACAGGAGGTCATAACCCACAAGTATAGGGGATCGCAACAGTTTTCGAGGATAGAGTATTCAACCCAAATTTATTGATTCGACACAAGGGGAGCCAAAGAATATTCTCAAGTATTAGCATCTGAGTTGTCAATTCAACCACACCTGGAAACTTAATATCTGCAGCAAAGTGTTTAGTAGCAAGGTAATATGATAGTAGTGGTAACGGTAGCAAAAGGTAACAGTAGTAAAAGTAATGTTTTTGGTATTTTGTAGTGATGATAGCAATAGCAACGGAAAAGTAAATAAGCGAAGAACAATATATGAAAGCTCGTAGGCAATGGATCAGTGATGGAGAATTATGCTGCGGTTCATCATGTAACAGTCATAACCTAGGGTGACACAGAACTATCTCCAGTTCATCAATGTAATGTAGGCATGTATTCTGAATATAGTCATACATGCTTATGGAAAAGAACTTGCATGACATCTTTTGTCCTACCCTCCCGTGACAGCGGGGGCCTTACGAAAACTAAGGGATATTAAGGTCTCCTTTTAATAGAGAACCGGAACAAAGCACTAACACATAGTGAATACATGAACTCCTCAAACTACGGTCATCATCGGTAAGTATCCCGATTATTGTCACTTCGGGGTTAACAGATCATAACACATAATAGGTGACTATAGACTTGCAAGATAGGATCAAGAACTCTCATATATTGATGAAAACATAATAGGTTCAGATCCGAAATCATGGCACTCAGGCCCTACTGACAAGCATTAAGCATAGCAAAGTCATAGCAATATCAATCTCAGGACATAGTGGATACTAGGGATCAAATCCTAACAAAACTAACTCGATTACATGATAAATCTCATCCAACCTATCACCGTCCAGCAAGCCTACGATGGAATTACTCACGCACGGCGGTGAGCATCATGAAATTGGTGATGGAGGATGGTTGATGATGACGATAGCGACGGATTCCCCTCTCCGGAGCGTCGAACGGACTCCAGATCAGCCCTCCCGAGAGGTTTTAGGGCTTGGTGGCGGCTCTGTATCGTAAAACGCGATGATTTCTTCTCTCTGATTTTTTTTCTACCTGAAACACAATATATAGAGTTGGAGTTGGAGTCGGAGAGGCACCAGGGGGCCCATGAGGTAGGGGGCGCGCCCTAGGAGGGCAGGCGCGCCCCCATCCTCGTGGACAGGTGGTGGGCCTCCTGGCCTTCATCTTTGGCAGGTATTTTTTTATATTTTCCAAAAAGTGGCTCCGTGAAGTTTCAGGTCATTCCGATAACGTTTGTTTCTGCACATAAATAACACCATGGTAATTCTGTTGAAAACAGCGTCAGTCCGGGTTAGTTCCATTCAAATCATGCAAGTTAGAGTCCAAAACAAGGGCAAAAGTGTTTGGAAAAGTAGATACGATGGAGACGTATCAACTCCCCAAAGATTAAACCCTTACTTGTCCTCAAGCAATTCAGTTGATAAACTGAAAGAGATAAAGAAAAACTTTTACAAACTCTGTTTGCTCTTGTTGTAAATATGTAAAGCCAGCATTCAAGTTTTCAGCAAAGATTATAGCTAACCACATTCGCAATAACGCTTAGGTCTCAAGTCTACTCATATCAATAGCATAATCAACTAGCGAGCAATAATAATAAATCTCGGATGACAACACTTTCTCAAAACAATCATAATATGATATAATAAGATGGTATCTCGCTAGCCCTTTCTGAGATCTACTCATATCAATAGCATAATCAACTAGCGAGCAATAATAATAAATCTCGGATGACAACACTTTCTCAAAACAATCATAATATGATATAATAAGATGGTATCTCGCTAGCCCTTTCTGAGACCGCAAAACATAAATGCAGAGCACCTTTAAAGACCAAGGACTGACTAGACATTGTAATTCATGGTAAAAGAGATCCAGTCAAGTCATACTCGATGTAAACTAACAATAATGAATGCAAATGACAGCGGTGCTCTCCAACTGGTGCTTTTTAATAAGAGGGTGATGACTCAACATGAAAGTAAATAGATAGGCCCTTCACAGAGGGAAGCAGGGATTTGTAGAGGTGCCAGAGCTCGCTTTAAAGTAGAGGTGAATAATATTTTGAGCGATATACTTTCATTGTCAACATAACAACCAAGAGATGGCGATATCTTCCATGCTACACACATTATAGGTGGTTCCCAAACAGAATTGTAAAGTTTATACTCCCCCTTCCACCAACAAGCATCAATCCATGGCTTGCTCGAAACAACGAGTGCCTCCAACTAACAAGAGTCCCAGGGGAGTTTTGTTTGCAATTATAGTTTGCATAAAGCATGGGACTGGGCATCCCGGTGACCAGCCATTTATCTCGTGAGTGAGGAGCGGAGTCCACTCCTCTTGAGAATAACCCGCCTAACATGGAAGATACGGACATCCCTAGTTGATACATGAGCTATTCGAGCATACAAAACAGGATGTTTATTTGAAGGTTTATAGTTTGGCACATACAAATTTACTTGGAACGGCAGGTAGATACCGTACATAGGAAGGTATAGTGGACATATTTGGAATAACTTTGGGGTTTATGGAGTTGGATGCACAAGCAGTATTCCCGCTTAGTACAGGTGCAGGCTAGCAAAAGACTGGGAAGCGACCAACTAGAGAGCGACAACAGTCATGAACATGCATTAAAATTAATCAACACCAAATGCAAACATGAGTAGGATATAGTCCACCATGAACATAAATATCGTGAAGGCTATGTTGATTTTGTTTCAACTACATGTGTGAACATGCGCCAAGTCAAGTCACTTAAATCATTCAGAGAAAGATACCGCCCTATCATACCACATCATAACCATTTTAATAGCATATTGGCACGCAAGGTAAACCATTATAACTCATAGCTAATCAAGCATGGCAAAAGAAACTATGATCTCTAGTTGTCATTGC